TTTGTGCCTTAATTATTTAAATTAATTTGCAATGAAGTAATCAATTAAGCTAACTTGCAATGAAATATTTAATTAGCAAACGAATTCGCTCAGAGTGTGGCTAATTTGTGGCCTTATCCCACTTTATTTTGTACAAATTGAAATGAACTTAGGACTAAACACGATTTAGTGTTATCAATCAGAGTTTGTGCCTTAATTATTTCAGTTAATTTGCAATGAAATAATTAATTAGAAAACGAATTCACACAGAGTGTGGCTAATTTGTAACCTAATCGCACTTAATTTTCTACAAATTGGAATTAGAACAACACTTAACGTGTTTTAGTGCTATCATACAGAGTGTCTGCCTTAATTATTTAAGTTAACTCGTAATGAAATAATTAATTAGCAAACGGATTCGCGAAGAGTGTGGCTAATTTGTGGCCTTATCGCACTTACTTGTCTACAAATTGAAATTATGACAGCACTAAACATGTTTCTGCCTTAACTATTTTTTTGCTACTCGGCTCGTATTCGGAAACGAGACTTTTAATCCGGCTCATATTCAATAGCATTGATCCTTGAACGCATAGAAATCGATTGGCGAAACTTTGACTTCGCCGTCTCTTTTCGTTCCCGAGTTAGACGAGGAACAGACGGACAGACGGCCTAAGGCATCACATAAGGGCCACGTTCACTCACCAAGTCTTATTCTCTGAGCGCGCGTGTGATCTTTATAGAAAATAGTCATCAAAACGTGTGTCCCTTACTTCAAATGACCTTGGCGTAACGCGCAATGGTCTTTTCACGAAATGTACAGTGCGAGTACGAATGTGCATTACTCGTTTTGGGTATTGCTGTGTAAACAATGTCGGTTTGGGACGTTTTGTTTGGATGAAGGCCTTTGGAATGAATTGAGTTCATTAAAATTGTTCCTTATGCAATTTTATCGTGCATCTACTTACGAACTAACACAAAAGGTCTTCTTGGTTTACTTTCTTTATAAACGATAGATATTAATGCGTTTGTGACAGTTTGGAGATGATTTTGGGAGTTTTTCGCTTATTTTAGAAAAGATAAAGGTAATTGTTAGAGATACAGTGGCATGGATGGCTATTTTAAGTTTTTGATGAGTGTTCTGCATCAACGAGATATGATAATCAACGTCACTACAACCGTTAAAGGGGATATGAAGTAGAAAAACCAAGTCTTTGTGTCACGTGTTATCAAGTACATTTGTTTCCGTTAATTTAATTAGTGTGTTCGAACGTTATTCAGACATTTTAACTCGAAAACTGTAAGTAATTTTAAGTATTTCTTGGTAACTGTTATAATGTTTGTATTTGAACGCCCATGTGGGTTTTGGTTATTCGGATATATGTATTTTAACAGCCAACAGGACTGTAATGGTTGTTTTCATGCGTGCTTTGTAAAAATAAATGTTATTTGTGTAAAGTTGTGTGTTCACTCGCACCCTTTAACGACGAAAAGAGAAGTCTTATGCTCAATTACGATTAATTGTATTGATTCATGCCCAAAGTTCATTTTAAGTGTTTGCCAAAATTTGGTAACAGACCGTTTGGAATTTGAGGATTTTGATCTGGGCCACTGTCTGCCTCGAGTAAGGAATTTAAGGTCAGAATTAAATCGTTCTGCTGCGTCGAGCTCCTCAAGCCTAACTTTTCAATGAAATTTCTCTCACTACGCACAACCGGCACAAAAAAATAATTGAATACGGACGCAAACAAACTCCTTAAACTCCAAAAAGGTCATTTACCAAATTTGGAAAGCACTTGAAATGCACTTTGGGCGGGATTCAATAAAATTAATCGTAATTGAGCATGAGACATCTCTCTGAATCGTTAAAGGGATCTAATAAAGACACGACTTGCATCATTTTACATAAAAATTTCTTCTGCGACCGCAAACGAAATTAAACATGAAATCCTATTTAACCAAATTGGACCACAGCGTCCGAATAAACAAACCACGCTAATGCGTTCGATTATAAATTAAACAAATATAAAAAAATCTTAAGATTACCTTCGAGTTACAAAATTGCAATAACAATACACTGCCTTTTTTTGAGCGCCGAAGAAAAAATTGTCTCACATCGACCCGGAAAAAAATTTTCTTATAGAATGTGGCCTGTAGAATCCATAATTTCAAACAGTTCCAAGATTGGGCTACTGGTTCAAAAGTTACAGCCCTTTGAATTTTCTTTCGAAATTGGTTTCTAGTCTATAACTTTTTATTGAGAAGTCTGATCGAAAAGGTACGAATTGTTTTGGATTCTACGCACCAAAATTAATAAGAAAAAGTGTTTTCCCGAGAAATTTTGGTGTAGTCGATTTTTGGTAAAAAAGAAAGGTTATACACTGCCTTCTTTTGAACCCCGAAATAAAAAAAATTGTCTCAGATCGACCCGGAAAAAAAAATTTTCTTATAGAATGTGGCCTGTAGAATCCATAATTTCAAACAGTTCCAAGATTGGGCTACTAGTTCAAAAGTTACGCCCTTTGAATTTTTATTCGAAATTGGTTTCTAGTCTATAACTTTTGATTGAGAAGTCTGATCGAAAAAGTACGAATTGTTTTGGATTCTACGCACCAAAATTAATAAGAAAAAGTGTTTTCCCGATAAATTTTGGTGCAGTCGATTTTTGGTAAAAAAGGAAGGTTTATACACTGCCTTTTTTTGAGCCCCGAAAAAAAAATTGTCTCAGATCGACCCGGAAAAAATTTTCTTATAGAATGTGGCCTGTAGAATCCATAATTTCAAACAATTCCAAGATTGGGCTACTAGTTCAAAAGTTACAGCCCTTTGAATTTTTTTTCGAAATTTGTTTCTAGTGTATAACTTTTGATTGAGAAGTCTGATCGAAAAAGTACAAATTGATTTGGATTCTACGCACCCAAATTAATAGGAAAAAGTGTTTTCCCGAGAAATTTTGGTGTAGTCGATTTTTGGTAAAAAAAGGAAGGTTATACACTGCCTTTTTTTGAGCCCCGAAGAAAAAATTGTCTCACATCGACCCGGAAAAAAATTTTCTTATAGAATGTGGCCTGTAGAATCCATAATTTCAAACAGTTCCAAGATTGGGCTACTAGTTCAAAAGTTACAGCCCTTTGAATTTTTTTTCGAAATTCGTTTCTATTGTTTTGGATTCTACGCACCAAAATTAATAAGAAAAAGTGTTTTCCCGAGAAATTTTGGTGTAGTCGATTTTTGGTAAAAAAGGAAGTAGGTACTTAAATTCCAAGTTTCTCCATATGGAATTACAATAAATTCAATCTAGAAATTACAAAGTCATAGATCTTTGAAAATTGTTTAACTGAAGTTAAAGTACGATTTTTGAAAATTTTCCAAAAGGTCCATATTTCAATAATCTTGAAAAAGAACCTATTTGGTTTTTGAGGTCATTACGAATTATTCTGAGGGTAATGAGGTTTCCAAAAATTCCGTGTGTTATGTGAACTTAGATACAAATTTTCATTATTGTTTAGCTTGGACTTCAATGTCTAATTCTCAAAATCTTAAGAACTCACCACGCGATTTATAAAATATCGCACGCTAAGAGTATTTCATTAATTACGAAACCTTTTGATCTCTTTTTGGAAAATAAACATCTGATTTAAAAATTTCAGGTTGTGCTTTCTTATTTTCGAAATCTGAATGGCTAGTGATGAGGTTACCAAAATTTCAAACAAAATTCTTGAAATCAGGATTTGAGATAATGCTCTCTTATTTTTGAAATCTGAAAAGATAGGACCCACGAGGTTCTCCAAATTCAAACAATTGTGAAATTAGGAAAATTTGACTCGCAATACCAGAAAGGCAATTTTGAACATTGTAAAATTAAGCTTAAATTATTCATAAGTATTTAATTTTTAGAAATTTTCCAAATTTCAAAATCCTGAAAAACAAATGAACAATTAGAATCAGCCACAGTAGCGTCTAATTTCAAAATTTAATGATATTTACTTGTATTTTTAAAATCTAAACAAATAGGAGTTTGTCTAGTTTTTAAAAACTTGAAAGACAAAAAATTTGAAATGGGGAGACATTGTAAACTTAAGGCCAAATTGCAAATACTTTAGAACTCCCTAATTTTCTAACTGAGCGAACAGAATTTTAAAATCGAACGCCCTGGCATCTCATTCCAAAAACTTCAGATTATTCTCTTATTTTTGGGAAAAATAAAAAGTAGCGGTCATGGGGTTCACAAAATTCCAAAAAAATTTTGAAACTGCAAGAATTTCATTTTCAAAATTTTAGCAATACCAGAACAGTAGATTTTCAAAAAATTGTAAAGCTTAGTTTTCTCTTATTTTAAACTCTTAAAAAACTGAGGTCTGAAAATTAAAAAAAAATTAAGATAATATTTTAATCTTAAGATTAAAGAAATGTAATCCCTCAAAGATATTTTAGAAAATTCCTGAAGAAAAACAAATAAAGGTGGTAAAAAACTTGACCCTTTTCGTAAATCAGAATATTAAGATGTTGGAAGAAGTGGGAGGGGCGGGGAACTTTTGGGCAGCATTACAATAAAAATTTAAAAATACAGGAGTAGCATTTCACTCGGCATTTTGCCATTTTGTTTAATGAAAAACGTAGAATTGTTAAGTTTCTGATCCTGCAAATACTAATCTAATCCCGAATTTGTTAAATCCAAAATTGCAATTTGATGATTTCAAAAAAGTAATACTTTTGAATATCTGGACATTGGTAATTTAAAAATATGTGTTGATTCGCATTTTTCCAAACATGTTGCGAGTCATTTTTTGATCCAAAAATAAATTTCACTTACCTTATTGAGAACTCATTGACAACATTTTTCAAAAAATGGCAAATCGAAGAAAATCAAAGAGGCGTTGCGAATCATCCATCACTTTCCAGCTAGGACCCACACGTTGACTCACAATTTTTCAAAAAATCGTCGCGAGTCATTCCCTTCAAAAAATAAAAGTCACTCACCTTATTGGGTGGCTGAAGTCATTCGGAAGTTAAAAAAAATAAGCACGAGCTTAATTTTTTTTATTAAAAAATGAAAAATATATTACATTAGTAAACTTACCCTATCATTCACTAATTACATCCTCTCAAAAACATAATAATTTAAACCGTTAACAACGTAAAAAATGTTGAACCAATTAATTGGGAGACGCAAAATTCAACAAATTAAGTTTTTTTAATTATAAAAAAAAATCAACACGCATAAAGGAACGACTATGACTTTGTCAGACTTTTTAAATACTTCTCGTACTGCATCAGCGGACCGGGATTCATGTTCAGCCAGTTGTGGTGGTTCTGCATTTCGAAGTGCCGGTAGATCATCGCCTGCTGCATCGCGGCGAGCTGATTGGTGGCGTTCATGAGGTTCTGGGGGAAGTTGAAGTTGGCGGAGAGCTGGGCGAGGTTTTGGATGTTGTACTTTTCGAGGAGCTTGTCGGGACTGAGCGGCTGGCTGTTTTCGGTTCCGCTGCTCGTGACGACGTTCACGGCTAGTTTTGAGGCGGCCGGGATCGAGGAGGTCGTCCCGGCCTCCTTTTTTAAAGGCGGCTGCGACTTGGGGGAGGTGGGGTGCTTTGGGGCGGTTTCCGGTTTGGGGTTCGGCGTTCGCGGCGAGCTCTGCTTTGAGGAGGTGCTGGACGAGGGTATTTCGACTTCGAGCGGATTGGGGGAGGACTTGGATTGCGCGACCGACACCGTGTAGTTTAAACCGAGCGATGGGGAGTGGAGGCCGGTGACTGTCTGCTGGGGAGGCGATTTGGATGATATGTAACTGTTGAAGTCTTTGAGGGGAGGGTTGCCTCGCTCGGGGGTTTTCGTCTTTTTCGCGGCGGGCCTCTTTTTCACCTCCCCATTTTTCTCGTGCTTCTTGTACAGCTTCGAGGCGATCTCCAAGATGTTCGGTTTCGAACCGGAATCGCCTTTAACGATCGGAATCGTTTGAAATTTGTTGGTGAATTCCGGTTTGCGAATCGCCTCCTCGAACATCTTCTGGAAAGTCTGCGGAGTTCGCGGGTTAAGCTTCACGAAGTCGCGCGAGGAACTGCCCAGCTTCGTGGGGAGGTAGCCGGCCGAAGGTTTGCTGGGCGATTTCACCTCGGCCTTCTCCGTTGGTTTACCATCGGCGGGTTTTGAGGGGCTGGGTTTGGACGACGGGGATTCCGGTATTTTCAAAATTTCGATGTAGTTTTGAACGGGTTTTTGAAAGGGCGACTGGGTCGGGTCGTCCTTTTCGTTTTTGACCGTTACCGAAAGCGACGACGGTATGTTGATCTTGTAACTGTCGAAGAGTAGCGCCTGCAGATCGCTGTTGCCGTCTTCGGCAATTTTCGGCAAATTTGGTCCGTTCTGTTTCACGTTACTTAAGATCTGTTGCACCGTGGGGTTTTGTAAGGGCTTCGACGGGCTGGGGGACTTCTTAGGTTTTTTCGGTCTGTCTGTTTTTATAGGACTGCCCTTTCGTTTGGGGGCACTTTGAGGTGGAGGAAGGGGTGGGAGAGAGGGGCGCGGGGGAGGTTTCGGCAATTTGGGCAAGGAGGATTTCGCGGTTAGTTGGAAAGACTTCAGGAATTGCGACTTTTCCTGATCGACATCCGACACTTCCTTAACGGGGGACTGTTTTCGTTTTTGAGACTTTTGGGGCTGTTTTTTGACGTGCTGTTTCGTTATTTTTATGCCGATTTGTAAACCGTTCTTATCTGAGACTTTTTGAATTTTCGTAATTATTTCAAGGCCATTGTTTTGGTCGATCGTATTTCCCAACTCCTTTTCGCTGCTCTTCGATTTATCTTTGGATGTTTTGGAATCTTGATTGGCCGACTTCAGTTCCTTTCGGATTTGAGGCTGAATGAGATAGTCGAAGCTGTCCGAAACCAATTTTATGTCCGTAATTTTGAAAAAAAACTTCATCGGCTCGTTCTGAAAATAATAAGAATGACGTCACGATGACGTTCGGTGATTACAGGTGAAATGTACGAGGGGCGATTATTCTAAAAAGTCTTCGCCATTTCAGCGAGCATGCGAACCAAAATTGCGAAACACAAAACTGTCCGTATGTCAAAATGGCGGACTTCATCTTCTTGGACAACGGACTTTCACCGAATCCCTCAGGAATCGTAATAATCTAAAGCAAAGGCAAAGAGAAATTAATATGTCTGGACGTTACACGTCACTTGGAAAATAACGTCAACATGACGTAACAATCTGGATAAAATAATCGAGTTTGTCAGTTACAAAAACGGTAGGCGGTAACCCGAGACGGTACCGAAGTAGAAGGGGAACAGGTCCAACGAGACAAGAAAGACCTACTGCCCTGGTGGGAATCAATCCCAATGCCAGGTGCAGAATAAAGAATACGATCACGGTGGAGCCGGGGGTGGGGGGGGGGGGGTCATTTTTTACACCAATGCAATACCTCTCTTACTAACGTGCGGGTGGTAAAAATTACAGAGAGGGAGCGATTTCAAATGTAAAGTCAAATAAAAATCATCTCTGGGAAATTATTAGAATCTAGAATCTTTTAAGACGCCAAAAATGACGTGTAAACATGGCGTAACAGTCTGGATGCAAGATGCAGCATACTTACTCGCCAGTCACAAAAACAGAGCAAAACAGCAAAATTTCAAGCGTCGGTCCTTAGAAATTAATAAATCTAGTCTTTTAAAACCACACACGTCACTTGGAAAATGACGTAAACTTGACGTAACAGTATCGATAAAATATGCGGGTTTCAGGTAGAGGTTATACACAGCAAAATGTCCACCGTAAAATTAAATAAAGATCACTCTGAAAAATGAATAGTTCTAGAATCTGCCACACGTCACTTGAAAATGACGTAAATGTGACGTAACAATCTGGATAAAATTGTCGGTTTCCGAGGTAGAGGTTAGACGGACATTCTCAGTGGAAAGTCAAACAAATCGACTCTCGAAACATGACAAATTTGACGTTAAAATGACGTGACTAATATTTTAGACAGAATAATTCCCAATTCGGTTAAAAATGACCTGCTCAGAACATTATTTCGAGAAACGTTCCCGATCGCCCTCGTACATATAGTGAAGGGTGAAAAAGTAAAAGACTTACCCTTTTCCACGAGTAGATATATGCGATGTCGATTAGGGTGTAGTGATCAGGTAGCGGAACCCTCTTATAGAGAATATCGATCTGTAAAGAGACAAAAAGTGTCGGAAGGTTTATTTTTATTATACGCGAGCGGAAATTAGAAGTTACGTCTTTCATTGTTTTTGGGGACGTCAAGGAGGGACGTCGAACTTACGTAATACTGATTAGTGTCGACGTTGTACTTGTTGCGTATGAATTTCTTGAGTACTTCGATGCGGCACATTCCGGGACACTGGAGAAACCTTTTGATCGCCGAATTCTCCTCGACCTCGCCGCCCTGATTGCTCCTGTTGTTGTCGTTCTCTTTGTCCGTCGACTGCGGGATGAGGATCGCGCCCGGCGTGGAGTCGTCGCTGAAAGTAAATTTTTGAAAATTAGACGTGGCTTATCTAGTGCTGCGGACGTCGCCCGTCTCCGTTTATCAACTAAAAATAGTCGTCGGTTATCTCGCTTACGTGAGGATGTTGATGCCGCAATTAACATAAATTCGCGCCCGATTATCGCCCTTAAAACGGTCGTCCTTAGCGGTTGTATTTGTCCGTCGCCGCCTCCTTTAAAATGCGGCGGTGACAACTTGACTCAACGCGATAAACTTGTATTTAAAAATAACCCCGATTTTATCGCTCCTTTCATCACAAGTTCAATACATCATCTGTCGCACGAATTTTAATTAAATTGGATTGGACGCCGCTCTCAGTTGGCCTAATTTAAATAATCAAATTGCATAATTATACGATAATTAATTTGAAAACAACTTAATTTAGCCCTAAATATTAAAAATAGTCGAAATCCCACTTATAATTAACACCATTTAATTAATTAGGCGCAGTATTGTAATTTAAGCACAGAATTTATTAATTACTCAGGTAATTTGAAGAGCGTATAATTAATTAGAAACAGTATCAGTGTCCATTGACTAATTTAGTAAGTCGTAATTACCACTTCAAGAATGAAAACTTAATTTTAAAGTTGCGTTTAATTAATTAATCTCATAATTAAGAACAACAACGCAATTAAATGCAGGCATTAATTTATTACTAATGAATTGCTAGGATAATAGCGCTAATTAACAGAAACTGACATCTAGTTTTTCAATTAGAAACTTTTATCAGGAGAACATGAAGGATGATAGGCAGGTTTTTACATTTTTTCGCCATTCTGTGATCCTCATACCACATTTTTTTACAAGAGAATTACGTCACGCAAACATAAAAGTTCCCGTGCGGTGGAGGCATCCGTCGGGCGCATCCCCGGGTGGCGGATAGGGGGGGGGGTGCTTCGGTGTGGGTAGTGATGAAGGTCATCGTCGCGACACATAATGGTGCCCCTCGGATACAGGGCGACCTCCGAGTGGTGGCCGGGCTGGCAGTCAAACCCGGTGAGACCGCATTTCCGCACTACTCGTAAGAATTGTATGGACGATAATTCGAACAAACCCTCTCTGAGGGTCTCCTCGTCAGCCGAACCCTGAACAGGATCCGATAACGGAGCAGACTCCTCGAAAAAGGGGACGGCTCCAACGCAGGGCCTTATTCTAGGACCTGGTGGTATTTGTAAGAAGAATAAAACTGGGGCACAGAAGGCGGTGGTCAGTAAGCGCCGGCTCAAGGATAAAACCTAGGAGTGGGGAAGGCGACGCAACCGATCGAGACATCATACTCTTGGAGGAAAATTGTCAGTTAATGATCAAAGCCCGGGACGCGGTCACGACTAAGGAGGCGATACTGCGTGTGGTACCAGGAGGGAGGTGCAGAATGAACGCCACGTTGCCCGTCGACCGGCGGCGGCTAATGCACACGTGGATAGAGCGACGGCCGAAGAGGTAGCCAAGTGAGGATGGAATTAGGGGTTAGGAGCCGGATGTATTTCAAGTGCGGAAGAGGCGAGCGGCTGCAGCATCCAACCGAGCAAGAAATGCGCCTTGCAGTGCGCGTGGAAGTGGAAACGAGTGGAGGCCTGGTAGTGATGTCTGTACTGTACTGCGGGCATGCCTGGTAGGCAAGGCAAGCGGCGTAGACGAGAGGTGGGACTCTGGCACCTTGGACCGTATTTTCTAAGAGCTGTGTGAGGAAACACTCCCGAAGAAGAGGCCTGGATTTAGAGAGACATACTGGTGGAGCAAGGAGGAAACGAGCTCGAAGGGCCGGCCGAACGAAGGGACCCGAACATGAGACACTTAAGAGCGAGAGGCAATGCCTCAGATTTGATCAAATCGAGCAAGAGGGAATGTTGGAGAAATGAGTTGGACCGAGATGTGTACCAGATGGCGGTCAAGAAATTGAGAACGGTGGTAGGGTGGAATGACGAGGCATTCGTGGAGAAGGTCCGAGGACTGTTTTCTACACACCCACACCTGGTAGAGGAGGAGGAAGTCTCGGCTGAGGACGACTTTCCCAGGGTGACGGTGGATGGAGTAATGTCGATGGCAGGAACGATACCGGACGATAAGGCACCGGAGCGTTGGAAGGCGAGCAGGCCAGTGCTGATCCCCAAGGGCGATGGAGGGCATCGGCCACTATGGTGTGATAAGGCTAGTGGCCGACTATTAAAGGAGCCGTGCGGTACAGGCGATTAAGACCTCAGTAGCAGTGTACAAGTTCGTTTCAAGTGTGGGAGTGCCACAGGGCTACGCCCAAGTCCACTACTGTGGACGGTTATGTATGATGGGGTGTGGATACCGTTAGAAGTGGGTTCGTGGGAGTTAGCCGACGACATCACGGTGGTAGTGCGCGATAGGGACCCAAGGAGGACGATGCCAAGCTCGCAAGTGCTATCAGGGCAGTAAGCGAGTGGAGGAGGAGGCGAAGGCTGACTTTGGTGGCATGCAGCATTTGAGTATAGAAGATGAACAAAGGAAAGAATAGCGCTGGAAGCCGAGGTGGGCGACTAGGACCACATAATGTGGCAGGGACGAGGCAAGCTGGGATGCGTGCGATACTGACGGAAGGTGTGTGACACGCGAGAAAGGAATCGAGCCACAGTGGATAGGCGGTGCAGTAGCCACGGCCTCTCCATTAATCGGGAAAAGACCGAGGTTGATCCATTTATGAATCAAAAAGAGGCCGGAGACCCTAATGAGACGTCAACTGGGTCTGACCAGGTCAGTGAAATATTTGGGAGTCATCATAGACTCCCACCTGATCTGGAACATTGAGCGAATAAGAAAAAAAGGTAACTGCAGGTTTATGGGCTAGTAGAAGGGGTTTGAACCCTCGACTGATATATTGGCTTAACACTGTAGTGATAAGGTCAACTGTAGGATGCATTTGTATGGTGCCAAGCGCAGGGCATCCTATAGGAAGCAGCAGAAAAGGCTCAAAGGCTCGCCTATCTGGACCCATGAAAAACCACCCAACTTTGGCCATGAAAGCACTTCTGGGACTAGAACCTTTACACTTAGCTGTGGAGGCAGAGGCTCGGAAGGCTTCCATGCGGATCGAGACACTTTTGGACACGGAGGAAACCCCTAGATCCGACCCCCTCCTCGCAAGAAGGGATGTGATTCGGGCTGTCTTACTAAGACCGCAGTGTACTAAGGTCACTCTTCCGGACAGGCAGCAGTGACTGAACTCAGAGTGTCAGTTCCTCAAACCTGAAGTGCTCGTGTGGTTTACAGACGGGTCCCTAGGCTAGGCGAGCTCTGGATAGATCAGGTGAGTCTAACAGGGCAACCTTGATCTGCGCGCCAGCGCACTGCGGAATAGGGGCCGACAAGCTGGCTCGCGAAGGCAGTGGTGGGGCCTTCGTCGGACCCGAGCCTACCCTCGGAATTGCTTCCTTGCCACGATTAAAGACTGGGTGTTCAGTCAATTCCAGGCTTAGTGGAAACAAGCAACCGGACAGACCAGAGCGTTTTTAACAGAGCCCCATGGCAGATCTGGGTCTTCTAAAACTGAGTAGAAACCAGATTAGGACGATCACCGGTGTCCTTATCTATCATCTGGACAACATTGGGCTTGTAGGAGAGCCCACGAGCAGGTTCTTCTGTGTCAAGGCCAGTGGCGGTCCCAGGATTTGGTAAAGGGAGGGGCCCAAACCCGAACTTTGTCCCAACACGGAAAAAAATAAAATAAATCTCGCATAATGGAAATGAGATCGACACAAAATTGATGAAAAAAATGGACAATGGGGAGCCCCCCCCCCCGGACCGCCACTGGTCAAGGCAGATGAAACTACCAAGCATGTGGTATGTCACTGCGACACCTTGATCAGAGACAGATATCAGCCCCTTGGCGACAGTTATCTGGAACCGAAAATGGTAAAGCAACTTAGGCCCTATCCTTTATTGAGACGAACGTGCTCTGAACCCAGTTGCAAAAAAGGGGGTAGGCAAAATGAGCCTTGGGTGTATCTAAGTGCTGCCCGGTCGAGCTCCCCTGCGAATAGATAGATAGAAACGAAAAACGTTTATATCAGGAGGGCATAATAAGGGAGGAGTTCGCCAATTGATGGATTTTCTGAATTAGGACCTTGTATCTGGATGTATTTCACTCCCTCTCGCATTTATGTGATTCTAATACAACGATTTGAGAAAAAAATTGTATCAGGATGTGCTTTCCTGCAAACTTTAAACGTTTTTGGGTTTCTGTGACCCTGACACAACAGGTTATTAAAGAGCACCAATCCACTCTGCCCCCTTGCGTCCTGTACACCTAACAGAATAATTTCCAAAAAAGAAATTTGTACCAGGAGTAGACAATCAGTGAGAACTTATTTTAATTATTAAGGATTTTCTGCAACTAGAGCTACCAGGACAACATAATGTGAGTGACAATACATTGCACTCGTAATCCCCTCTCGCGCGTCTCCGACCCTAACACCACCACCATCCGACGCTCTTCACATCTGAATGAGTAATTTAAAAAAAAATGTATCAGGAGCACATACTAGAAGAGGGATTTGCAAATTCTTACTAATTAACGCGCCTAATTAAATCAGAAAGTAGTGAATAATTACATCTTGGAAGCACGAGATTCTATTTTAATCGCGCGGTAAATATATGTTTATGAATTAATTCGCGTTTTAGTACAGGAGAAACTCCTTCTACCCGACGCGTTCGACAAACAGGAAGCGTATCTATCAACTTGCCAAAATTAACCGCATGCCAGAGGTCGCTGTGCGAAATTGGCGCCCGATCAAATCGCGCTTTCGCCGAATGATGTAAATAGTCCAAAATTAGCGCACTTCCTTTTTTTTACGTAATCGGATACTTTCTAAAATCGTATTAGATTAGATTAGTGGAGGTTACTTGAATACACAAAACAAAGAACGATTTTTATGCCGTTGGATTATAGGAAGCAATAAACGTTAACGTTAAAAATAAGACGTTATTTATGCTTCCCTTATAAATAACGGGATGCCTTCACTACATTTCCCTTTTAGTTTAGATAAATTTTTGTATTTAATAAACAGAAAAGGCACGATTTTGATGCGTTACGTCAACCTATACGCGTGAACGTTAGAAATAAAACGTTATTACATTTCCCTTATAAATATAAAAATCAGCCCTGTGAAACGTCAGACTTAACGAATAGGTTATTATTTTATTATTTTTTGCGTAAATGTTCGATTTTCAATAACAGAATCTATAGCATTTCCTTTTTTTAGTTTAGATAAATTGTTGTACTTAATCAACAACTGGGAGGTTCACCCTGTACAAACAACGTACGACGATGCGCATGTTTTGAGCGAGTTCGGCATAAACCTGAGCGTCCCCAAAATTTTTATGTTGCCCTACAGTCTTTTTGTAAAGTTCGTCCTAGTTCCGGTAGATGCATGCCTAATCCAAAGCCAAAGGGATTCGGCCATAAGGAGTTTTTAGCCTACAACCGGAGCGACCCCATGAGAGCTGGCAGCCGCGCGGAAAAAATGCCGTTAACTTTTATTGTTTGAAAGCATCATTTTTGGTGTAAATGTTTCCTCAATTCTCAATTTTTCATTTTGCGCGTTCCGTCGTGATGGGCGATTTATTTAAAAATTAATAAAGGAGTTTATTTTATGGTGGAAATGAGGTTTCCTTAAATACAGGAGATACTGAGAAGACGTGGCTTTTTCTTTCGCGACGGTTTGAGAGCGTGGACTTTTTCTTTACGCTAAGTTTTTCGGGCAGTCAGCCTGTGTATGTGAAAACGTATTTCGTCAGTACTGCAATACAGTGTGGGGAAGAATATGAGTAAAA